GAGACAAGGACAGGTTATATAACGTTGTACGCAACTTGGGGAACGCGTCTAATGTCCCGCTCCGCAGACCTGCAGGGAGTCACGATCAGTCAGCAGAGAACCGGCCGGCTGATTCCACTCACACCCAAGGCCGGCATGTGACAGGTCAGCCCGCAGGGAAGGCGGGGTACAGTCAAACACCCGACTACAGGGCAGGGAAGACGTAACCCCGAGCACTTGTTCGTTCCGCTTTTGCTCGTTTCTAAGGGAATGCCGCGCTCCAGGGAAGGCAAGAGCTCAGGCGAGTGGAGCCTCAGGCCTCGGGCCTCGGGCCCACGCACCCCTGCTGACCCCGCAGCACCTGCTGGCCCGCAGGTGCCCGGCAGGTGCCCCACAGGAGCCGAGGGCACGGGGAGGCGGTCACACAGTGCAGGAGCCATTGCCCAGCCTCTCCAGCAGCGGCCCTGGGGACAACCGGTCCTTCGAGCGAGAACGCAGCTAAAGCCCAGCAGCCCCGGCAGGTGCCCGAGAACCACCCACACTTGGCAGTCACCTCCGTTCAGAGAGCCACGGGGACGCCGGGCAGCGCCTTTCTTTGAATGGATGGGAAAGAGCAGGGCCGTGAGGAGAGAGCAATGGAAGCGTCCGGGAATCTCCACGTACGAGCTCTCAGTGTCAGCCCGGCTCGACCCGCGGCCCTGCTCCGGGAGTTCGCTCTGCACCGGTTCGGGCACAAACCCGCAGGGACGCGTGTCCACACGCACGCCCAGCCACGTCCCCTCCGACGGCAGGACTCGGGAGCCCGCACAAGGATGGGAAACAGCGAGGAAGTTAACAGACACTGAAACCCTCTGAGGCGTCACTTACCCTTAGCCCTTCCTTCGTATTGAAACTGTCGAGAAGCTGCTGATAATGTCTGTCCGTCATTTGTCGTAACAGCGACAGGAGACACGCAACAAACTCCCCCTGATTTGAAAGCACAGGAAGAAGCGTATTTTTCAGCGAGGGCGCAGAAAACCGTCAGCCCCTTTCCTGGCCAGGTGAGGTCAGATCGGCCTGACCACGAACGTGCCTGCGCCCAAGATCTTTCCACTGAGACACTTCTCAGCCCCGCTCCCTCTGCAACGGAGACGCTCTGAGAGGCACACGGTCCCTCGCCCAAGGCCCGGCTCCAGGTTCCCGCAGCACCCACCCTCCGCGAGGCACAGCTTTAAGCAACGCGGCCTCTGTTCCGAGGGCCATTCACTGGAAGACAGAGCGATATCCTGGCCGGTGCTGCCCAGTGGTTAGAGCATCGGCCTCTGCACCAAAGGGTGCGGGTTCGATTCCCAGTCAAGGGAACATACCTTGGTTGCAGGTTCGCTCCCTGCCCCCGGTTGGGGCCCCTGCGGGAGGCAACCAGCCGACGTGTCTCTCTCACATCGATGTTTCTCTCTCTCCCTCCCTCCCCCCGTTCCCCTCTCTCTGAAAAGCACCGGAAAAAACACCCTCGGGTGAGAGTTAACAACAAGGGGACTCACAGTGACTTCCTGAAACTGCAGCCGGGTGGCGGAGCCCGACGGCTGCGGGCGGCTGGTGATCTCCAGGATGGTCCTCAGCAGGATGTCCAGCAGGCTGGTCACTATCACATCTATCTCCTCAAGCACGGACTTCTCCTTAAGAGGGAAAAACCCACGTGTTCAGGAAGCTCTGGCTTCATCGGTACGTGAATCTCTCTCTAAGGTACAAGGGGGAAAGCACATCTCCAAACAGAGACTCAGCGTCGGAGATCTGGGAGCTTTGAGAGACCTGGACCTCACCTAAGTCCTAACGTGAGTGACCTTCTTGTACACGAAACAAAGGCGTGAGGCAGGTAACACTCGCCTGCGGCACACCCCGGGCTGGGCACCGGGTACCTGAGACGCACGTAAGAAGGGGGTGAGGTCCTGGGACGCACACTGGGCGAATTCGGAGCCCAGCCAGGCTGCTGGCTCGGCGTGTGACCTTGAGCGCGCCCGGTTGCCCTTCTGGGCCTGACTCCTCCCTGGAAGTCCTCCTGGTTCTGAAAGTCTATAACTTTTTCATCTCAGATTATGCTACAATTCCTCTTCTCCACACTTGAATTGCACAGGCTCCAAAACTCTATTTTAAATGCAAATGAATATTCCTATGAAATTTTTTTTTTTATTAAAAAAAAAAGATCCCCTACATGTAAATATTAGCAAAAGCATTCAGATTCGGTAAATACTATTGGCTACAGACTGGACCTCGTGTCAGTGACCAAGGTGGAGACTGCTTTCCTGGGCAAACTTGCCCCTACCCGAGCCCCCAGGGGGTAAGAGAAACCCAGACTGCTCTGTGCTGAGTGTAGGTAGTGAACCTGGATTCTTTCTACCTGCCCCAGATGAAACTGTGTGTGCAACGCTCCTCCCAAGGAGCCCTCCCTTGCAAATTAAACATTTAGAAAGCGTGAGTTTGAAAGAGCTTTTCGGCTAGAGTTTTATGATAAACTTTCTCACACTTGAGAGAAAACTTCCAAGATTTCCTTCCCAAAGCAGAGATCCTGCCCTGAATCCCTCCTCTGCTGAGTCTGAGCACTGACTGCGACTCCCAAATTGAAATAAAGACATTTAAAGTCACTCCCCGGCCACTGCCACCTGCGTGCAGTTTTCTGCAGGGAACCGCCTCACCTGACTGCTTCTCACTCTCTGCAGCTGCAGTTTGCAAGAGTCTCTAACCAGGCACCCCCGGCGGCTCTTCACGGAACTGGACAGAGGGAGTTTTAAGGCAAAACAAACGCCTTCCCATGGTCACCACTCTGACGCGGTCCCAGGCCGCCCTTGGGGCTGGGGCCAGGAGGCTGCACACAGACCCGCTGTCCCTGCCCAGCCAGCTCTCCTCACACTGTCAGGCCCAGAGCTCCTCTCAGGGGCCAGCTCTGCTCCCACAGGAACGGGTCTTCTCTCCGCCACTCCCACTGGAGTCCCTCCCACGTCACCTGACTGCTGAGCCCTTCAACGGCCACTGTAGGAGGGACAGAAGTGGGAAACTGCAGCATAGCAGTCACACGGAGGCAGAGCAACAGGCCTCAGCACCCGCGGTCAATGTCACAGGTGAGCTGGATGCTTAAGAACAGCTGCCGGTGGGCAGAGCGGGAGCAGGACATACATCAGACCGCCGACCACGCCCAGGAACGCCCCAAGCTGTCCCCACTGATAAGCCAGCGAGTGATTTTTCGTGATTTGCTCTCAACTTTGAAATCAACGGCATCACATCAAGAGTCAGGAACTGACGGAAGCCCTAAGCCACAGTGAGCTAGCGGCTCCCGGGAGGGCCAAGCAATGGCTGCAGACAAGATACCCGGCTCCCAGGGCTTTCCTCGGCTCCCACAATGTCCACAGGGCCCGGCGCATGGCCAGGGCCATGCTCAGAACATCCTTCCACACAGGCCCCCGAAGACGTCCCTCCACAAGCCGCAATTTATTCTCGCCACAGAGCCCTCGTCACATCAAGATGAAAGACACGTGTGGGAGGCTTGGAGCATTCTAACCTTCCTAACTGGGGATTCAGCTCTTTCTTGAAATACAAGTTTCGGAAACCCAGGTTATTCGGGGCTACAGCCATCCCCCAAGGTTAAAAAAAAAAAAAAAAAGGCTTCAGAGGCAAAGCACCAAGTCCAACCCAGCCGGAAATAAAAGCGAGGGGTCAGGGGCGATTCATTAGTGCGGTTTCTCTGGAGACACTGAACGTTGCGTTTCCCGGGGCCATTCGAGGGAAGGCCCGCGAGGGGCGCGTCCACCTACCGAGCTGTTCTTCTTGATGAGGCAGAACACGTTGCTGAGGATGCGCGCGCACATGATCAGGTCCTTCTGCTCCTGCAGGTGCATGTGCAGGTGGTGCAGGACCACGGGCAGCAGGATGTACCTGGAGTCTGCGGGAGAAGCCCGTCGGTCAGCCCGCCCGCCAGCCCTGCCTCTCACTGCGATCGTCACAAGGCGTGTAATTACTGCTACATTGTTACCACATGTGGCTGCAAAGGTACGAACTAGAGTCTGGGGAGCGCAAGACAGTAAAATAAGCTACATCTTATCCACCGCAGCAGGAAGTCGGTGGATGACCCGTCTCGGTGGAAAACCAGGAAACGGCCGGAGAAACAAGCCATTTCCGTGTTTGGAGGTAAAACAAACAATTTTTTAAAAACCCTATTTCAATAAAAGAGTGAAAAGCCTCTTGAGTTCAGGAATCATGGGCTGGGGAAAGGAACTACTGTTTTTTAACATCAACCATGTAGTGCTAGTTAGTACCTTTTTTTAAAAAAAAAAAAAAATGTTTTTATTGATTTGAGAGAGAGGAAAAGGGCGGGAGAGAGAAACATCCACTGGCCGCCTCCTGCACGCCCCCTGCTGGGGATGGAGCCTGCAACCCGGGCATGTGCCCCGACCGGGAATCGCACCAGCGGCCTTTTGGTTCATGAGACGACACTCAACCCACTGAGCCACGCCGGCCAGGGCTCGGCTTCTTTGTTTGAATTGCTTCCGCTGGCCCACGGCCTCGAGGTGAGGGCGGGCTCCGGGAAGCCCCGTCCTGCGGGCGCCCACCTGGGTTGGTGTAGAGCTGGCTCTCCACCGTCTTGCCGATGCACTGCAGCTTCACCGCCTGCAGCGTGTCGTCCACGTGCACTATGGTGGGCAGGCTGCCCAGCGTGTCCTGCACCAGGTTGGCCACTTCCCGGATGTCAAAGAGCTTCAACAGCTCCGAGTACACGGCCGGGAAGGAGCTCAGGAACACAGCCTTCAAAGAGAGAAACCGAAGTCAGCTCCCGGGCGCGCCCTCGGGAACCAGCTGTAAGACTCCGCGAGTTTGAGACCAGGACAGATCATTTTGAGTGGGAGGAATGTGAATGCCGAATGTTTCCGGTACCTAAAGCTAAAAGGCTAATGTCATTAACATTTAAAAGTGCAGCAAAATGGGACAATCTTTTGAAACGTGCCGAGACACCATAAAAAACTGGGAAATTCTGGAAAATCACTGACATTAGCAAAGCGACTGGCAAAAAATCCCACAGAATCAGTAAAATACAGGTGGAAAGAATGCTCAGCCAAGCCCTGGGATGTCCTCTGGTGTTTCATTTCTTCCAGTAGAGGACTTCAGAGGTGCTCACTTAAATCTCACCCTTTAGAAACCAAACACATTAATTCCCGAAAGCACTCAATTTACGATTAAAGAGCAAACAGGGCAGGACATCAGAAGGCCTAACTTTGAATAATTATAAAGGCAGTCTTGAGTAAAATACATTTCATTTTCAAAATTGAGCGGTCGGCCGTTAAAGTGTGCTTACACTTCTGGGGGACACACTGTATATAGTCCTAGCTTGGCTTCTAATCCACCCTGTGACCTTGGGTGAGTCAAGTTTGCCTCCCAGGTTTCGGTCTCATCACCCAGAAATGAAAGGGTCATTAGGACTATCGCTTAGGTGGCTTTGAGGTTTACTGTAAACCCAAGAGTATGTGTACTAAGGACAATATTCTTTATGAAAAGACAGACACCTGGTCATCGGTTGTTTAAGAAAAAAAAAAAAAAGATGCTAATATCAAACCCTAAGGGCACGCCTCAAACACTGGGCTGGGCTGGTACCTTAAAACAAACAAGCAAACTCAGTCTTTTAAAATTCCACCAAAGGAGGGCAGTGGAAGGAAGGTCGCCAGCCTCACCTCCACCTGGGGGGGAAGGGGGTGCGTCTCTAGTACTTGGAGAGCCAAATGCCAGCTGGCTGCCCCGTGAGATCTGACGCCGGATGAAAGTAGGTCGAGTCTACCAGTGTTGACGATCCAAACACAGAATCAAGCTCAGATTCACAGGCATGTAATTCATCTCTACAGCTGCAGCAGAAAGATCTAGAAGAGCCAGGGCCTGCTTCGGAGGCCAGAGCCATCCCAAAGCTTGACTCTCAGTAACTACAGATGTAGTCGAATGAATTTGAAATAAATTAACTTAGTATTCCCTGCTAAAAACCGCATTTACATAAGCTCCATTCGCTCTGCAAAGAGCTGAGTCATACAGACGAAGTTGAAAAATAAAATAAAGTGAGCCCAGCGTTCTGATTATTGGAAAGTCAAGCTGACTTTCCTCTGGGACCCTCGAATTGACCATTCGGTCTTTATCCATACCTCTTCACTCCGGAAAAGCACTCGAGTGTGTCTGCAGTGCGAGACGCGTACGTTACAGAGGAAGGAGGGCCGGGAGACTGTTATACAAAAATATCTAAGCTAGGGATGTTTACTGCAAAAATAAAAAGAAGTTCAATTTCATTTTGACCTTAGAACAAAGCAAAAGTGAGAAACATTATGACTCAGAACTGAAGGCAGGGTTTGGGCCTCAACTCCTCCTGTTGTCCCTCTTTTCCTGGGGTCCCCAGGGTGGGGGCCTGTCCATGGAGTGGGACACCAAGGACCACTATTCCGAGGGCTAAGTCAGCAGCAGCCGAGCCCAGGCGGGGCTCCCAGGGCCGGAGCCGCGAGTGAGCTGGGCGCAGGCCAGGGGGCCCCAGGAGCCTCTCACCGGGACCGGGACGGCCAGGCCTGAGGGCAGTGGTCACTGGGCCTGGGTTTCTCTTAGCATCCAACTAAAATAACGTGATCACATCAAAACTGACAAGCATGGTTGCTGCACAAAGCCCAGCGGCTTCAACATAGTGCAGATGCTCGGGAACGTCACACACACGTTTTGTGTAACACCGCTTCACGAACCGCTAAGGGCGAAAAGGGGAAAAGATACGATTCCACGAAGGTGCTAAAGCTGCCTCGCTACGTTTTCTTTAAAAAAAGGTTTTCACTGATTTTTTCGAGAGGGGGGGGAGGGAGAGAGACATAAAAACATTGACAANCGAAGGTGCTAAAGCTGCCTCGCTACGTTTTCTTTAAAAAAAGGTTTTCATTGATTTTTTAGAGAGAGAGGGGGAGGGAGAGAGACAAAAACATTGATGAGAGAGTCATTGATCGGCTGCCTCCTGCACGCCCCCTGCTGGGGATCGAACCCGCAACCCGGGCCTGTGCCCTGACCGGGAATCGAACCGGGGACCTCTTGGTTCATAGGTCGATGCTCGACCACGGAGCCGCGCCGGCTGGGCTGCCTCACTTAAGAGCATCAGGTCGACGTGCTCGCAGAAGCAAGGCGGCCCGCTCCGGCTGCGGGGTACAGGCGGGGCACCCCATCTCAGGGCGGCCGCGGGGTCGGTGGGACACGCCTCAGGGAACAGAATGTTTCTCTAGCTTTGAAGAAGAAAGAACCTCTTCCGTCCCCAGGCAGGCATCTCCTGACGAATCATGCCTTAAGGTGACTTAAAAATAAGAATATTTTTCAGATGTGAACTAGGTTGAGTTGTGTCCCTGTAACTGATAAAAGTTTAAAAAAGAAAGNATATTTTTCAGATGTGAACTAGGTTGAGTTGTGTCCCTGTAACTGATAAAGGTTTAAAAAGAAAACTTAAAACTCAAATTTTCCATAGCTTTTGTAAAAACTTCTGAGAAACTTGATCTAAAAAAAGGCATGGTTGGTGTGTTGGACTCTCCTTTTCAAACATCTGAAAGCGGGGTTAGCCTCGCGGGCAACCGGACATTCACTGAGGTCCCTGGCAAGTCCCTAAAGTGCAGGGACTGACCACTGATGACTGCGGCCAAAGGATATTAAAGAGCCTGAACCGAATCCTTGCCCAGAGGGGAGATCGGTCCTCTAGTGCAGACAAGAGAGTGCCAGTCGGCAAGCGCAGGGCACTATTATGGGCAGGAGGGTCCACTGCGCGTGTTTCGCCACCAGAGACAACGCTGAAATGGCAAAGCCGCCAAATTACACCGACCCCTGAGGGATCGAGTCCGTCTTCCAATCTTCCATTTTATGTCCCAATTCTCAATGATTAAAAGCCTCTCGTCTCCAGGGGGTGGTCACCGGAGGCTGCTCCCCCCTCTGACAGGTTCATAACCAAATCACGGGAGATAAAAGTGTGTGGGAGGGACTGAGGGACGCGGGGTGGGNATTCTCAATGATTAAAAGCCTCTCGTCTCCAGGGGGTGGTCACCGGAGGCTGCTCCCCCCTCTGACAGGTTCATAACCAAATCACGGGAGATAAAAGTGTGTGGGAGGGACTGAGAGACGGGGGGGGAGAGAGTCGGAATCATCTCCCGGGACACGTTCAAGGCCGTGCAGTCTGTGGCGCGGATGGACTCTGCCCTTCCACAAAACACTACAGCGAGTCTCCAGGTAACCGATTTTGGCAACAGCCGCTCAGCACTGCCAGGTAAGATGAGCCCCAGGACAACCAGGGTCGAGTTAAGCAAAAAAAAAGCAGGACACAGTGAGTCCCACACGGACAGATCGCCAGGCCTGGGGACAGAGCTCCCGCAGACAGGCTCTGGCGACGCTCGGTCGCGCGGCTGGCGGTGATGGGGCATCTCGTCACGAGCGTGTGTCCCGGGACCCGGGGTGGACACCAGCAAACCCCGGGCTCTCCATCCAGGTGGGACAGGCCCGAGGAAGCCCAGCCCGCGGCCCACGCCGCTCAGAACCCGGCCCCGGCGGCTCAAGTCAGCGAGGCCACAGGCCACCAGGAGGATGGTGTCTCCCGGAGAAAACCCCGCCCCCAGGCTGCCCAGGAAAACCGGACGCGCGGCCGGCTGCTCAGCAGCGACGGAGGCGTTACCTGCGACTGGGACAAGGGCCCGGAGCCCTTGCTCTCCTGCGACAGGAAGAAGCGGACAGACAGGAGCAGCTCCCGGATGCAGCAGCGGAACTCGTCTTCCTTCTGCCCGCCCGTGGCCAGCGAGAACAGCCTCCGGGACTGCACGATGTACTTGAAGATATACTCCTGCGCCTTCGGACGGAACGGTCAACACGCGGCTTTCAGCCGAGGGCAACGCTGCGAGCCGAGCGCCCGCACGGACGCCCAGCACAGTGCTGGATTTTAAGCGGCCGGTTTAATCTCGAGGGGCCTGGGAGGTTCCTGAACCGCGTTTATATGTGGAAGTTACTGTCTCTGGCGCCGCCCATCGGGAGACCCGGATAGGTCATTTAAAAATTCGACGGGGGGTCGCAGGACGGGAGGGGCTTTGGGGGACTGAGTGGGAAAGGCGAAGGGATTCAGAAGTACACGCTGTGAGTTACAAACAGCCAGGCGCAGGCGACGCACAGCACACGGAGCTCAGCCACTGCTATCGCCATAACTGAAGTGTCAGGTGGGGGCCAGACTTTGGGGGGATCACTTGGTAACTTACATAAATGCCTAACCGCTACGCTGTCCACTTGAAACTAATATAATACTGAATGTCGGCTATCATTGGAAAAGCTTTTTTAAATTATAAAAGTAAAAACTCTATGTAATGCTCTAGAGGTAAGAACATACAATGTCTTACCTCTCAGAGGTTTTTAAAGTAACAGAGAGAGCCTGTTTCCAAAAATGGTTTTGCTTTGCTAGTACATACTCTTGCCACTTAGAATCTTCCCTTCAGTCAGACCAAATGATCGATTTGTAATTAATAAGACGCTTGTTTTACTCAATGCATCTTTGTCTGCTTTTCTCTCCCAACATCGAACAGGGTGAAGCTCTGCAGTAGGGGTCAGGAAACACCCAGGGGGGGCCCCGGACAACCCCGTTAGGAAGCCGTGTTCTTTTGGGGCATCTGTGCATCCCCACATACAGCTGAGCACGTCGCACAGAAAGGAGGCCAGTGTTAAACCAGGAGACCCGGGAAAACCTCAGGTTTCCTCACTGTGACCCCCTCTAAGCCACCCTATTAGCTCTGAAAAATTAGGACAAATCCTTCTCAGATAGTGATAAAAGCAACAGCCAGGAACTGCCGAGTCTGACTGCCCACCTGCGGTCCTCTCACGAGCCCAGAGGAGCAAGGATTCAACCCTGAGCAGGGCCCAGTGGGCGAGCCCGGCCAAGTCCCTTTCCAGGGTCCCCAGCAGGGGAGCAGCCACAATGTGAGAAAGATCCTTGAACTGGGAGGCTAGCAGCCGCCATCACCCACGACCGCCTACGGGGAGGGGACCGGCCCGTCGCGGCGCCGTGGGACCCCCGTCTGGGTTACCTTCAGCACCTCCTGGATGTGCTCCTGCCGCTCCGCCTCCGTGATCCTGTCCACGTACCACTTGAGCACTTTGATGAGGTCCCTACAACGCGGAGGAAGCACAAGAGGTAGAATGGGCCCGACGCCCGGCGCGATGCCCACAGACCCAACCCTGCTCATCGCGAGGGGCTTCCTTCCCCGTCGGATGCCACGTGTTTCTATCCAGCTGCTATAAGGTCGAAATTTTACGAAGTCTGCACGTGGATGTCGCCACCCCTTTGGAAGAGAAACAGCGCTTCCTGCCAATGAGGTGCCTCTCGACCTGGACATACCCGCCCCCCCCCACCCCCAGCCCTGCCGCTTCTGGAAGCTTCCCAACCGGTGAACACAAACACCGGACAGAAGGACTCTGGCCAAGGGAGGGCCACGAAGTACGACCGCCGCAGTCAACCTCGGGCAGCTACCAAGGGAAACAGAGACCTTTCGGAAGAACACGTTTTGGGAACGGAATTCAGGAATCAAATTCAGAAAGTTATTTTTCATTATTCTGATCAATGTAAACTGCAGCCACCTATAAAAGGTGCGTGAGAAAGGAGGGCACAGCCTCAAGAGACCCCGTGGCTGAGCTCCGCGCCTCCCTTAGACGTCCCCCCACGGAGCCAGTTCTGCTCAGGAAAGTGCCAAGGACACGGCTTCTAGACCAAGTCCAAGGGGCAGGGCTACCTGTATGCCAGCGCCCCCGCAAAATGACTCTCGATGTACGTGTCCATCACGGGCTTGAAATGGTGAAACTTGCTGTCTTGAAGCAAATTTATTATGTGAACCTAAAAAGAAAACTGAGCGTTAGAAAACCGGAGGCAAACCACGCTAATTTTCTTCTTTTTAAGTGAACTCTCGCCCCACGAGGTGTGATTTCCCGAACAGCCGGCCTTCCTTCGGGACATCGAGATGGAGACACACGTTGTGAAGATATAATTAAAGAGATTTTACGCTCACCAAAGAGTCAAACACTTTCGACCCGTATTTTTGAGAATTTTCGTCTAAAATCCCGAATAAGGTGTCCAGTGTGTCTTGCAGAAACTGTTCAGTAAAGGAGAGAGCAGACCCGTCAGTGTCGGCTGTCCCTCCCCTCTAAACAGACCTCCCCCACGAGCTCCCGAGGGAGGGACCCCGAAGCAGCGAGGACCTTGACGATCTCGGAGCCGTCGATGTCTTTTAATTTGGAGAGACAGCCTGTGATCTTGTCCGGGTGGGTTCTCCATTTCAGAAGGTCAAGCATGTCACCTTGACAGACAGAACAGAAAATTAACCATCTTAGCAGACAACAGTCTCTCGCAGCAAAGTGTTCTACGGGCAAAAGTTGAATTCTTGCCCTGGCCGGTGTGGTTCAGTGGGTTGGCGTCACCACCCCTGCACCGAAAGGTGGCGGGTTCGATTCCCCNTAGCCAGGCGTGACACAGTGGTTGAGCATCAACCCATAAACCAGGAGGTCACGGTTCGATTCCCCGTCAGGGCACATGCCCGGGTTACAGGCTTGATCCCCAGCAGGGGGCGTGCAGGAGGCAGCCGGTGGATGTTTCTCTCTCCCCCTCTCTTTTCCTCTTTCTCTAAAATCAATAAAAATGTATACATTTTAAAAGTCCAGTTCTTACACATGTTGCCAAAAATAAATCATGCCGTTGTTTTTATTTTATTTTTTTAAAATCCTTACCCAAGAATATTTTTTCTGTTGCTTTTCAGAGAGAATGGAAAGGAGAGAGAGAGAAGCATCGATGATGAGAGAGAGTCATGGATCGGCTGCCTCCTGCTCGCCCCCTCCTGGGGATCGAGCCCGAAACCCGGGCATGTGCCCTGAGCGGGAATCAAACGGGTGACCTCTTGGTTCATAGGCTGATGCTCAACCCCTGAGCCGCGCCGGCCGGGCAGATCCTGCTTTATTCATCATAACCTGCTAAACAACCACTGACATGGAAAAGCAGCGCTGGGCCAGAAAAGCAATATCCGTCTAATTAGACTCAGAACAGCCTCTATTCCACAGCCTGCAGTCAGCGCTGTTTATGGGGCTGTCGAACCACAGCGAGGAAGGCGGCAGGATCCTGCTTTTCATTTTATTATTCTCTTTCCTTTTTTTCTAAGCAGTGGGTTTTGAGGGTTGATTGGAAGGCTTGTGTCCTTGCATTTCCCATAACCGGGGTGATTATGAGGTCCTTTTAAATGACATGCATTTAACAGACCTGGGTCACGATTTAACTGGGTCATGAGCTAACTGGGTCACGATTGTTTCCGTTTGCTCGGGAATCACACAGAGGGACCCACCTTTTCTTTGAGCCTGAGCCAGGCTCTGAGCTCTAACACCGATGTTGACGGCTGTGCTACCTAAACCCACAGGCCCCTTAGGACAAGGCCTTCCGAATCCGAGCGGGGTGGGCCTTACCGTTCTGCGTGAGCTTCGTGGAGCAGAGAAAGGATGTTATCCAGAAAGACTCCTTCGTGGTCCTCGGGGCCTGATTGCTATTTCCCAGGAGAACGCCCTTGGAAAAGGGGAGCTTGAGGTAGCGGGTAGGATCCTGAAGGTTAGCGTTTTCTTCACACTGTTCAAAATAGAAATAAAAACGGGGGAGGGGGAAGAGACCTCGTGAGAATTACTGAGCATCATTTCTGTCTCCAGTGGTTATGAACTAGGAGACGGTCCAAACAGCACCATGAGCAGGTTCTGACTTTTAAGTAAAATGCAACAATAGAGTCTAACAGGAATGATGCTCATGTTTTGGACCGGGACCGACGGGTTGAATCCCAGCTCTGTCACTTCCCACGCAAGGGACTGTCCCAAGTGACTTAACCCCTTGGGACCCCCCTGCCCATCTCTATAAGCTCCTTGTGTAGTCACAAGATGAACACAGTAGCCCTGAGCATCCTGCCTGATGCATTGTGAGTGCTCAGGAAATCTTATTCGTGGTGAGTGTAGAATTTGGGGGAAAATGCTTAAATTCTTTCAGCATCTCATCTGATGCAGCTTTTAAATAACTCCTTACTCTGAAAACGGGCAACGAAAGGAATTAACACGGCCCCACGCTACAGGGAAGGCAAGTCAGGGGAGGCTCTGAAAGGGGCGGTGGCGTTGCTCCTGGGAGGCCCTGAGGACTGTGAGGGGGACACTGCCTGTGAGCGGCGGGGACAGCAGCCGGCTGAGGAACACACAGGACGCAGGAGAGCAGAGGCAGTGAGTGAAGGCCGGCTTTTCACGAAGGCTGGCCGCGTGGGGAAGGGGAAGGGAGCGGGGAAGCTATTGAAAAAGTTGTTTTTGCTTTAAAGAAAAAGGGCTTGGGTATGTTTATAACCGGAGAGAAAACAGCCAGAAGAGAGGAAATAGTTGTAGACACAGGAGGAAGAGGGGGCACTGGGAAGAGCAGGGTCCCAGGGGAGTCAGGCAGGAGGAGGTGCTGGAGGAAGCAGGTAGAAGGAGCCTTGGAGGGAAGGAGTCTTGTCCCGCCCTCCAGGACAGGAGGGGGGGGGAAGGGAAGGGGNAATAGTTGTAGACACAGGAGGAAGAGGGGGCACTGGGAAGAGCAGGGTCCCAGGGGAGTCAGGCAGGAGGAGGTGCTGGAGGAAGCAGGTAGAAGGAGCCTTGGAGGGAAGGAGTCTTGTCCCGCCCTCCAGGACAGGAGGGGGGGGGGAAGGGAAGGGGGCAGCCGCGTCTGCAGGTGGCAGGGGAAGGGGGCAGGAAGTTAAGGGAGTTCCTGTCTGGCAGCTTCTTCTCTCTGCTGCGTAGATGGGAAGTGCTGGGGTGGGCAGAACCCTAAGACCCTGTGAACAGCTCTGTGGGACTGAGGCCGGAGCTGAAGAGTCTGCCTGCAGAGCTCTGCATCAACACCCATCAGGCCATGAGGACCTGAAACAACAGTGTCATTTCCTCTAATAACACTCAGCTGCCTTGGGTGGGATATTGGAGGGGGAAGGGTGGACAGGCTCATCGGGGCTAGTTTTCCCGGCCCATGTGGGCACGGCAGAACTGAGGATCAAGGGATTCCCTGGGTAAGAAAGGGAAGAAAGCAAAGTCAGGAGGGTCAGGAGGGTCAGGAGGGTGGGAAAAAACTAGTACAGTCAGAAAATTGGAAGGTTGAAGATCATGGTCAGAATATTGGGAATTAAAGACTTTTTATTAGAAGTGGTTCTGGATGATTTCATACATCCAGCCATCCATATACCCACCCATCCATCCATCCGTCTATCCTTCCATCCATCCATCTACCCATTCATCCATCCACCAATCCTTCCTTCCTTCCATCATTTGATCCATCCATTCATCCATCCACCCATCTATCTACCCATCCATCCACCCATCCACCCACCCATCCTTCCATCCATCCACCCATCCACCCACCCATCCTTCCATCCATCCATCCACCCACCCAGCTATCATAGCAATGGAAAAAACTTTGAGGTCAATCTATAGATTTTCCCAAACAACTACATTTAAATTTAGATGAAAAATAAATCACCTTTAAAATATGTTTTTGAATACAGCACAGAATATAGAAACAATACTTTGAAAAAGACACTCCCTGCCAGCAATGTTCTAGATAAACATTCTTTCCAGCCATAATTTTGTCTTCTCCAGAGTGATGGTAAAACGGGGAGCTAGCAATGCAGCCCCACTTTCAGGGCCATCACCGACACCTGCTGGGCGTTACCTTGTGCACAATGAGCTCGTGGGTGCCATCTGGGAGAGTCCTGCCATCCTCCTGCATCAGGGGGACGAAAGAGAAACCAAACAGCTTCTTCTCGCCTTTCTCCTTCGCTGTGGGGGGGCAGGGAGAAGACGACTTACTTGCTTATTTAAGCACCTGCACACACAACTCAGTTTAGAGAAACAGGGTGCCGAGAAGGGTGATTATCAAGAAATCTAGCCCACACGCACCGGCTCCCCTTGCAGCGAAGGGGCTCTGCCTGCAGTAGCCACCCTCCACCCCACAGTCCTGCCCCTTCCTCAGCAACTTCCACTCCTCGACCAGTTTTCTTCACGGGGCTCATTATCTGAAATCATGTGTATTATTTTTTAATTTGTGCATTGCCCCTTTCTTCTCACATCCCACCCTCCACTTCTGGATGTTAGCTCCACTGAGGACAGGACTCTTATCTATTCTGCTCTGAGCCTGGCGTCTCCAAGGGCGCCAAGTACACAGTGGGTTCTCCACACATGCATGTGACTGAACGCATGAGCTGGTGCAGTGAAACGCAGTGTTCCGCTTGCTACTCAAGCTCTGCCAGGGGAGGCATCTGGCTGGTGCATCTTCCAGGCCCAGTGAAGTGCTTGGCACATAATAGGTGTTCAACAAACATGTGTTTCGAGAATAAATGATACTTTTTGAATAAATTAATATATGTACACACAGCTCCTGTGATAAAATGATTACATAGATTATTCACAGTTTACGGGATCACGGGGATTTTTTTATGAATTAAAAAAAGTACAAACAAACCTGTGAACGCGTTTGAAGGTCAAGGACAGAAGGGCAGGGCTCTAACAGGTTTCACTAAAATAGCCTTTACTGCACTTTCCAAGTCCTGAGCCACAATGATTCTCCCCAAGTGCTCCTCCTCCCAGTCCCGCTTTCCACCTGTCCTTCCCTTTCCTTTCCCTTTTTCTTACCTTAAAGCTCAAAACTTGAATGAGGCCCAACTGGGACTTTATAACAAAGAGTAGGGGGAGGCTCAGAACAGCAGGACTCCCGTCCTTTCAGTTCTCCCACCCTGGTCCCACCCATGAAGCTCTCCTGGGGATGTGGGGTACGGTAAGGCCGGCCAGTCATCTCCCTACATCGTGAAACACCCACAGAAACACCGTTCCTGGTGCTCCCCAGGCCAATTCCCAAACATGCTGTAGTCCCAGGAACAAAGTCCCTCTCTCCCTGAATCCCAGGTGAACGACACAGCCCTCGGGTGGTGTCCCCGCGTAGGTACTGGCCATGCCTCCATCCCTCCCAGGCTAGACAGGACACACTTCGGTGCCACAGGCAACACCAGAAGACCCCTAGACTGGGGGCTGGTGGGGCCGAGAGTGGGGGCTTGAGAGGGTGGTGATGAGTGCAGAAGAATTAAAACAGAAACATCCAGAAATGGTGATTTTGCAGGTAGCGATGTTTCCACAGACAAACCCTGTACCGCCCACGCTTCGGGTTCCTTAGATCCTAACGTGAGGTTGTCCTCATGGTCCCTAAGGCCCCTTGGGACTGACCTCACCTGAGTCTCACCTGAACAGAGGCAGGATGGATGCAGACATATGCAAATTAGACCTAAACCCGAGCCAATCAGAGGCCTTCCTAGTGACCTCACAATGGAGACTTTCATGGGTGCTTTTCTCCCCCCTCTATGTTCCCACGGACGTTATTGGTTCTGCACGAACAAGTGAGCCCACCCCTCTCTCTGGACTCCACCGGCCCCTCGGTCTCCGTCCGGGAGGTCTCGGTCACCACGCACAGCCTGTATCTGAGCCCCCACTGCGTGTCCCTCAGCCAGGCGAGCAGACACCCCGACAGGAGGAGCCAACCCCCACTCACTGGAACAATGCCGGAACTCGAAGCGGATGTGCGCGCCCCTGAACTTGTCCACGGGAATGGGGAGCTTCAGCAGCTCCGCCCAGCGGGGGCTGTTGTTGTGGTAAAGCACGAAGGAGTGGTACTCGCTGGCCAGGGGCTCGCCCGAGCCGAAGGAGATGAAGTCCTAGCAGAGGGAACAGGCGTTTAGAGACAGCTCCGCTCAAAGCTGCTTCTGCGAGCCGCCGGGGCTGCTTCCTTCTGAGGCTGGTGTCCCAGGGCCTCCTGTGCAGGGGTGACCGTGGGGACGTGGGGGACACGTCCAACGTGAAGTTCAAGTCCACGGCAAAGACTGCGCCCTCTGGGTGAGAGACCGACTGGGCTCACACAGAACACGCCTTCTGCAGAGGGACCTGGGACTCTGTCCCCAGTTACACCCCCCCCCAATCTTCACGCTTTATTTTGTTCAAAATGAAAATGCACAGGATTAAGGTGTGATTTGTTTGTTTGCTTGTATTTCAATTTTGTGTTTACCAATTGCCAAAGGAAGTATTCATCTCCAGAGCCAGGAGAGAGGAAAGGGGAAAATATAAAATGGCATAAAAAATATTGTATTTATATAATAACTGCTATGGGGACATTGTTGACGTAATGTCACAATTAAACTGTAAAAGTTTTTTGTATTTTTACTTTCCTTTCTAAAAGGCATTTTCATGATTTAAAAAATACCCAAGCCCAGCCGGTGTGGCTCAGGGGTTGAGCGTCAACCCATGAACCAGGAGGTCGAGGTTCGATTCCCGGTCGGGGCACAGGTTCTGCAGGTTCGATCCCCAGCAGGGGGCGAGCAGGGGGCAGCCGATCGATGACTCCCTCTCATCATTGATGTTTCTGTCTCTCCCTCCCTCTCTCTGAAATCAACATATTAAAAAAAAAAAAAATACCCAGGAGTAGAGAAGAAAAAGGAGATGGAAAATACTGCAAATCAGAAATTATCTGACGTCGTTCCAGATGAGCACAGAGCGGGGACGGCACTGTCTTTCCCGTAACTGTCCTACCTTCAAGGTCTGCCCGCTGCTCTCCACGATGAACATTGTGACTTCCACGTTTCTGGCCACGCTCTTGCCTCCCTTCTCAAACTCTCCCCTCTCTACGGTGATGTATAAATCGTTCCTCATTTCACCTAGCAGGAGGCGGAAATGAAAACCGTTTTATATATACTCAGAAGGGTAATACAGGGCTCTGTGGAGGAAAACGTCAGTTCATAAAACAGTGTTACAGCACACATATAAAAGTGAGACACCGTCCATTTAAGCTTTTTATAAAAGAGCTCCCCGCCCTCGCTGCCAGTGTCCAAGAACAGTAAAGGCCGCCTCCGCTCAGAGGAATTAGCAATACTGAGCATGTAGTTTAGGAGGCGACGCTGGGGTTGAGAAGAAAGGTGTCAAATTTCACCATTTTTCAGTATTTCCCTCATTCATGAGGTGTGATGCCAAAATGACAACCTGGAG